TCTCTGTGTGACAGGTTGGAAGCAACTATGGTTGATACTTAATGCATAATCCTTTATGATATCATGAGGTCCCATCCCTAGGTCTCAGGAAACTTCAGGGCCTGGAACAAGACTGCACTGGCATCCCTAACTACATCAGCTAAGGCTGGTGGGAATTGCAATACAGCAGCATCTGGGAAGGGGGCACACATTGCCCACCTAGCAATAATGGAACCTTTGGCAGCCATGACCAGCTACTGCAGTCTCTTTTTCATTTCCATCCTATCCAGTCTGTTACTTGCTGAGATTAGCTGGTAGAAATATAGCTTCATCTTTGCTTGAACTGGATGTGAGCTCAGTTTGCAGAGGTGTTGATATGTTGCAAGTGAAGGTGCCCTGAAATGTCCTAGGCTTTGGGTGAATCCAGTGACTGGCAAGCACACCCAGCCCTGCCCTGCATCCCTGCTGAGCTAAAGCATGGCTTTCCTGGCACATCTGGCTGGGCATTGTGCAAGGCAGGGCATGCAATAGCTGTTTGGATTTCACTCCTGAACCCCACGCATCAGCATCTAATAATAATTTGTAGCCATAAAAAAGAATGCCAACTATTCCTAACTATGCCTTCTTCCCAGTTATCAGGGTGCAGGCTGCCCACCTGTCTGGCAGGTTAGCATTTTTTTCCCTGGGCTGTATATGATGTAATGTGCTAGAATGTTGTGGGAATAAAAGAAGGACAAAAAAGAAAAGAAATGAAAAGGAAGAGTGGAAAAGGTGTACTGGTAGGGTTGCTAGGTTGCATTGCAGGGGGTTGGACTGGATGATCCTTGTGGTCTCTTTCAATTCTATGAATCTAAGTTTATTTTTCAGCATCTTTAAATTTATTTTTCAGCATCTTCAGGTAGGGCTGAGAAAGAGCCTGTGTATAACCTTCCAAAAATGTTGCCATTCAGCATAGACAATGATGGGATTGATGAACACATAATCTGACTGGTGTAAAGCAGTTTCCTGTGTTGCTATGAACATAGTTTGTGCTCAAGATAATATCTCAGGCTAGCCTGCATCACACTGTAAATGCAAAGATGCAATGGGATCACTCTATCTGTACAGCACTTGAGTTTCTTGGAGGAAGATGCCAATGTTGTTAATAAATATTAAATAATAAAGCAATTTTTTGTTGTTAGCTGCCCTTGAGTTGGTTATGACTCATGGGGACCCTGTGGATGAGACATCTCCAAGAATCCCTATCTTCCACTGCCTTGCCCAGATCCTGCAAGCCCTTCCCCATAACTCCCGATTGAGTCTGTCCATCTGGTCTGTGGTCTTCCTCTTTCTTCTACCTTTTACCTTTCCTATTATAATTGTTTTTTCTAGTGATCCGTGCCTTCTCATTATGAGGCCAAAGTATGATAGTCTCAACTTGATCATCTTTGCTTCCAAGGAGAGTCCTGGTCTCTCATTTGTTTGTTTTCTTGGCTGTCCACGGGATCCCAAGTACTCTTATCCAGCACCACATTTTGAATGAGTTGATTTTCTTTCTGTCTGCTTCCCTCACTGTCCAGCTCTCACATCTGTACATGGTAATTTGGAATACAATGGCCTGAGCAATTCTGATTTTAGTGCTCAGTTGTATGTCTTTGCTCTTCAGTATCTTTTCCAGTTCTTTCATAGCTGCCCTTCCCATTCCTAGTCTTCAAATTTCTTAGTTCCTGCATGGCAGGGGGTTGGACTGGATGCCCCTTGTGATCTCTTCCAACTCTATGATTCTATGATTCTATGACTGCAGTCTCCATTCTGGTCAATGTTTGATCCTAGATATGGGAATTCTTTAACTATTTTGATTTCTTGATTGTCTAGATTGAATTTGTGTATTTCTTCTGTGGTTGTTATTTTTGTTTTCTTTATGTTCAGCATCAGACCTGCCTTTGCACTTTCCTCTTTGACCTTTCTTATTAACTGTCCTAGTCCTTGAACATCTTCTGCTAATATTATGGTGTTATCTGCATATCTTAGATTAATCTTAATGTTGCTTTCTCCTATCTTAACTCCTTCTTTTTCTGACTCTAATTCTGCTTTTCTTATGATGGTTTCAGCATATAAGTTAAACAAGTAGGGTGATAGGATGCAGCCTTGCCTGACTCCTTTGCCTATTGGGAATCATTCTGTTTCCCCAATTCTATTCTGATGGTACATTGATAAAAATGCACCTTTGATGACAGTTCAGAAGTTTCAGCTGAAGGGAAGTGAGATTTCTTTGTCTTTATATTACTACTTGAAGACATCAGCATATACATTGTTTGTTACTTCAATGGATCTAGCTGCTACTGTTATTCTGTTGCCAATTCAAGGTTTCACCTTTATTTGAAAGTTCATAATCCAAGCCTCACATGTTCTACAGGAATACTTATCCTTGGAAGTTAATCCCACTAAGTTCAATGGGACTTACTTTTAGTGTGTTTAGGATAGCAAACCAAGCAAAGCAGATATATATGATGGCTCTATCACCTTCTCAGACATGATCCCTCAAGTGGGGAATGTGGATATATATATAGCATGGGTGGGGAATGTTTGCTGAGTTGATGTTCTGGAACCACAGTCCCCCTCAGTCCTAGACAGCATAGCCGATGGTAAGGGCTATTGGGACTTGTGGTCCAAAAACATCTGGAGGCCACCCAGCTATGTAAGGTTGCAGCCTTAGAGATTGCTGCTTGAATTCAATCTGCTCTGCAGAAATAAACAGTTTGTCATTGCTTTAACTACCATGACTCAATGCCATGGAATGCTGGGATTTGTTGTTTTGTGAGATATTTAGCCTTCTTTGTTAGAGAGCTCTGGTGTCACAACAAATTACAAATCCCAGGATTCCATAGGACGGAGCCATGGCAGTTAGAGCAGTCTCAATCTGTATTAATTCTGCAGTGAAGATTAGACCTTGGTCTCTTCCCTTGTTACAGTAAGTAGGTCATTTCATCAAGCCAGTTTGCTATTGCAGTTGAGAGGAAACCTCCTCTTTGCTGTATCTGAAATGGAAACCCACTGAACTAAAGGAAAATGAGAGCCTCACAGTGGTACACAGCTGGGCCTATGGTTCAGGAGGTCCAGGCTGAAAACCTTCCTCAGCTATAAGGTCAATAACTGAATAAACTAGTTGCCTCCTGGCCTGTGAGATGACAGCCCTTCATCCCTTTTGGCATCTAAGGGAATGTATTAGGCTCAGTTTTTCCCATCTGGGCTATGGCTCATCCTGGCTAGTCTGTGAAGGTTTTTATTTCACTTGGCTATTCTCATTTGTTTAAATTTGCTTTAATGTTTATTTCTTGTAAGCTGCTCTGAGGCTTGGAAAGGTGGCATAAAACACACACACACACTTCTTTTTCCTGATGATTCTTGAAAACTCCCCAGTTCTCAACATATGTCCTGGCTCCCTTTAATGTTTCTTCCTGGCATTTTATTTGGGGTGGGGAGGGGGTAGTATCTGCAAAGCTGATTCACTTTCCACTATGCTAGAAATGTAAGGTTTTTTAGTATTGTTATTTCATTGTTGCATGCAAGAACAAACACTTTGAAAATGGGTAAAGTAAAGAGAACTTTTGCTCATTTTTTTCTTCCCCCCTTTTTTTTCTGAAATACAGGAGTTAAAAAAAAAATTCATTTGCAGAAAAACTTATTTTGTGCACAACACTCTATCTTTTTTGTCTTAGAGAGGGAATGAAGAAGTTGAATATTATATCTATAAGTTAAAGATTAATGTATTTGTAATGGGGAAAATGCAAATAAAATATTTAATCATTATTAATAACATTTTTGTAAAGAAAGTAGTTTAATACACATTTTTCCTTGCAAAACAAAAAATCTCCTGGGTTTTGTTTGTTAATATGCATTTTTCACCAAATAAATGTTCCCCAATGTGAAAAATATAGCTGAAAATTTTCTCAACAGGATGTCTTGGTGCCTTACGACACTCTTGTATCTTATCAAGAATGAAGAAGGCTCTGAGTGTTCTTTTACATCCCTGCTCAGCATTTTCTCAAAATTGAAGAGCTGAAGACTCCTTGCAGGAGGTTTCAGTTGCTTACTTGCAACCAACCTAAACGTGAGACTGAGAGTCATTGAAAGAGATTGAACCCTCAGCAGTTTTAGTAAAACAAAAAAGAGGTAGGTGTGTGTGTTTCCCCCCACAATTAAATACATTTGTCTGTGGATTAAGGTTCTCAGATCTCAGGGCTGGCTCCTCTTCTTGATCTACATGGTCAGGAAGGGGAATCTCAGGGCAAAAACACTGTTTGAAAAGTATGTATGTATGTGTGTGTACTTTATCTCTCTTTTTTCTGATATTGTGTTTTATATTTGAATGGGATACTCTGTACTTCTGTGGCTGATGTTTAATATGTCCTGCATTTTGACATCATAAGGAGCTGCACCTTTTATGTCACAAGGTTGCATGTTTTGGGCCCAAAAACCCAGGAACTGAGATCTCCTGACCTGGCAACCTTACTGCAGAGGGTATATCTTCATCCTGAAAAGCCCACCTGCTCCTATTGTTCTCCAGCGCATGTCTCTTTGTCTACTTCAAGGCTTTTAAGGACTAAAACCCTACCACCCCAAGTATTTCATAGAGGAACCAGACAAGCAAAGAACATTTTATATACCCTCTACCTGTCCTGATTTGGCAGGTCCCAATTAATCCTCTTCCCTCTCACTTTTTCAGCTACTTTAAAATTGTCCCAGTTTCTCTCTCCTTCTCCTACTTTCCCCCTTTGAACTTCCTTCAAGTGTTTCAAACTGAGCTCAAAGTGCAAAAGTAGATTCCACTGAATTAACTCTTAAGTGGGGGGAGAGGAAGGGCTGGGGTCTTTCCCTTCCCAGTAGACTCAGACAAAAGCAAACTTCTGCAGCCTCTCCTAGCTGGTGTATTCTTCTTCAGTAATAACTTTTCCCACTTTGACACACCTTTTAATATTGCTTGGCCTCATGTGTCACAGTTTTCATCTGTGAATTGTTAGATGATATACATCCTCCACAGAGCCAGTGTGGTGTAGTGGTTTGAGTATTAGACTGTGGCTCTGGAGACCAGAGTTCAATTCCCAGCTTAACCATGAAACCTACTGGGTGATGTTGGATATGTTGCATACTGTCAACCTCAGGGGAAGGCAATGGCAAACCTTCTCTGAACCAATCTTGCCAAGAAAATCCCCTGATAGGCTTGCCTTAGGGGTGCCATAAGTTGAAAATGACTTGAAGGCACATAACAACAACAGGAACAACACATCCACTGTAAAACAGTTGTTGGCCCATAGCTTCCAGAAGCTGCCTAATGGCAACTTCGGCAGTGAAACCAAATGCACTGGCTGATCCCAGGTTTCTCTTTTCATGTCCTATTTCCCCTACATAATTTGGTTGCAGCACATAAAAAAAGGTTTGCTGGAACTGAAATTCTCTCTCTCTCTCTCTCTCTCTGTATGTATGTATGTGTGTGTGTGTGTGTGCATGAATGCATCTTTGTAGACACTTTTTCAGAGAAATGGAGAACAGAACGGGAGCTATATATGCCATCAGCATACATATAATGCAACATTATAAATTGTCTCTGGCAGGGCTAGAACTGTTTTCATGTGTCTTAAGAGCAATGCACAGATGAGAGAAAGCCCTGGAAAGTGACTCCACTCCCAATGGCAGCCCATAAGCCAGGGTATCTGACCTATATCTCTATCTGCCCCCACAAACTGTTTATCTAGCAATCCTTCCCATGTTTTTGTAATGTCACCCAAGGACCATTTTTCCTCCTAAAACCAGGTGCAATGGGGTTGATCTGAGGATTAGAGCTTCACATGTTATTTAGCTGTGGGAATATGGCCCAGATTAGCCACACAAGAAGCAGGCAGGCAGGCAGGCAGGTGTGTGCGTGTGTGTGTATGCCATTTTGTCTGATATGATGGCTGCTCTGCTTTGCAATCCCACAAGGATGAGCAGAAGACAAAAAGGAATCTGTGCTGTAGATCAGTGGATGGTTTCCTGACAATAATAATACAAAAACAAACAAAAGCTTAAGAAAAGAGGAGGAAGAAGGGGATGACACATTATAATAAGTGGCACCTGATGGCTGTCATATCAATGAGGGTGTGAATCTGTACCAGTTAATCTAAAGTTTAAAGGAGCTTTCCAAGCAAATGTGAGGCTCAATTTTAGCACCTTGGACAAATCCTTTATAGAATGGAATAAAATCCACATTGGCTTCTGACTTGGAAGCAACTGTTGCCGCTGTCTATAACCTTTGATGTGGATGTCCATGTTTAGCTCAGCCCAAAACATGGAGTATGGGGAATATTGGGCTCTTTCCCCAACATTTTCTCATGTGAGTCTTCCCTTAAGCCACTTTTTTCCCTGTCTTGATTGGGCTCTGATTGGTAGATTTTGAGTACAGTTGGTCCTCCATATTATATATATATATATATATATAGAGAGAGAGAGAGAGAGAGAGAGAAAATCTCAAAGCAAACCTTGATTTTGTCATTTTATATAAGGGACAACATTTTACTGTGCCATTGTATTTAATGGGACTTGAGCATCCACAGATTTTGGCATCCACAGGAAGCCCTGAAACCAAACCTCAGTGGATACCAAGGGGCTATGAGTAAAAATACAAAAACAAAGCAAAGTCACTCTAGCTGACATGAACTCTCAACAGTACTTGCTTTCCATCTGTCTCTTTTTAGAGACAGATGGAGATTGCCAGCTGAAATGCCAGTCCATGGGTTCATTTTATATCATCATGGGGAAGGCATTCAGTTTGGCCTGTAGATTTATGGCACACGTAGTTACCCTCCAGATATTGTAGACTACAACTCCCATAGACTCCAATTAGCACAGGCAATGAGTGTTTTGGAGTTAAGAGTCCAAAACATCTGGAAGATACAAGTTTGGCTAACGCTGAATATAGCAGTGCCATCTATAAATGGTTTGGAAATATCAGAGCACAAGTCAGCTCTTTTAGTCAGAGTTAAATCAATTAAATAAATAAGCATGAGGTTCTTCTTAATGTTATGCTATTAAATTGATTTAACTCAGTTTTTATATCTATTTTTTAAAAAAACTGAATCTTTTTTTATGAGCTACCTTAAATCCCTGCATGAATCCAACTAAAGTAAATCCATTGGACTGAAGTGATTTACACAAGTGTTGTCTTACCTTGCAGCAACTGAGTTAATAGGTCTACTCTGGTTAAGATTAACAACTGGACTTAGGTCCCATTTTGGGAGAAATCACAAATAAAAGTTCAATTTGGAGGGCAGCAGTTTTCCTGCATTTAAATATGTGCCAGCAAGTACAAAATTAGGGATATGGGGAGTTATACTTCAAAACATCTGAAGAGCACAAGCCTGCCTTCCTCTGAATAAGATACCAAAATCTATGGCTAGAAATTATGGGAACTGTAATTTGGAGCACATCAGGTTGCTTAACCCTGCATATGGAGTCAGGATCTACAGCAGACATACATACTCTCCAACATTTCACAGGTGAAAACTGGGACATGTGTGGTCAAGGAACAGCAGAGCATGGCCAAGATGGGAAAAAATGAAGAACACACAAGCCAGGAGAGGCTGCAGTAATTTGTTTTTACCTGAGCCTACTGGGAAGGGAAAGATTTTCCACTTTTCTCTTCTCCTCATCTCCTGCTGAGTTAATTGAATGCAAGCTACTTTCACACTTTGAACTCAAGTTTGCAGTGAGTGAAGTAAGCTGAAGATAGAGGGGAAAGTGGGAGGAGGAGAAAGAAACTGGGACATTTTAAAAATAGCTGGAAGGGGGAAAACTATATAGGATTAATCATGACTGTCCCTGTCTAATCAGGATAGTTGGGGCTTATGGATGTACTGGTTCTGGATTATCTGTGCATACTGTTCCTAATTTCCCATGACCCATCCTGGCACTGGGCCTACTTGAAAGGCAGAACATTGTGTTGGCAAGCACACATTTCCCAGCTGAGTTTCCTTTCTCCCTCACTCCCTTCCCTGCTGTGGGTTGCACACTGGATATTATGCAATATGCTAGAAAGGTTCACATCCATCTTGGCTGATCAAAAATAGCATGTTTTCTTTCACAATCATGCTGTCAGTGACAACGGGCTTGGATCTCCTTGCTCCTTCCGCCAGCTGTGCTGACCTTCACTGGTGTTCTAAATATGGTCCCTGGGGGCCTCCTGTTTCAAGGAGGTGGAGAGGAACCCACTTCTTGTGGCTTTCATGGAGAGAAGAGGAACTGGGAACTTTGGAAACCCACACCAGACTAAACTGGTTTGCTTTCCAAAAATATCCCCCAAAGCCTCTCCCTTTTCATCAGAGGATTAGATGCCAAGGTTTAGTCTGCACTGCAGAAATAATGCAGTCTGACAACGCTTTAACTGCCATGGCTAAATGCTACGATTTATAATTTTGTGTGATATTTAGCCTTCTCTTCCAGAGAGCTCTGGTGCCACAGCAAACTATAAATCCCAGGATTCCATACTGTTGAACCATGGCAGTTAAAGCAGAATCAAACAGCATTATTTCTGCAGTGCAGATTAGACCCAGGTCTTAATAGTGACTGCATTACTGAGAAGCACAGAGAGGAGTTACGCTTCTGCCAAGGACTGCAGATAAAATGAGTGCTGCCACCACTGTTCTGGCAGCATTTCTCTGACTTCCATGAAGCAGGCAGGAATATAAGCATCAAAACTTCACTTGACATGGCTGCAATTGCCCCTGTTATTTCTGTATCCATTGTATTCTATCAACCTCTTCCTGCAGGGACTTGAGGGTGGTGCACATGGTTCCTATTAACCCAGATTTTATCCTCACAACAGCCCTGTCAGGGAGGCTAGCCAGAATTGCCTTGTAAATTTTGTGTCTGAATGTGAAATGGGATTTTCTGGTCCAGCACTCTAAACAGTACACCAGCAGGCCTTTACCTAGGATCCATGGATGAGCTTCAGGGGGTCTATGAACCAGAAGCCAAAAAATAAATTAATTAATCCTCCCTTTGTTTTCTTTCCTGTTAGTTTGGAAATTGTGTGTAAGTACATTTTTCTGGGAAGGAGGGTTCGTAGCTTTCATCAAAATCTTAAAGGCCCAAAGGTTAAGAACTACTGTACTCCCCCAGAGTGCCATATCTCACCACGAGCCCATTCACACTACAGAATTATAGCTCTATGATTCCACTTTAACTGCTCCAGATCTTTGCTGGTTTCTGCTAGTAGTATTGTGTTGTCTGCATATCTTAGGTTGCTAATGTTCCTTCCTCCTATCTTCACTCCTCCTGCCTCTAACTCTAAGCCTGCTCAGCATACAATATTTTTTTTGCATACAGGTTGAATAGACAGGATGATATTATACAGCCTTGCCTAACCCCATTGCTGATTTGGAACCATTCCGTTTCTCCATAATCAATTCTGATGGCAGCCTCTTATTCTGAATACAGGTTACACATAAGGACAATTAGATGTAGTGACACTCCCATTTCTTTGAGGGCATTCCATAGTTTTTCATGCAGTCGCGGGCTTTGGTGTAGTCAATAAAATGCATGTAAATATTCTTTTGGAATTCTCTGGTGTACTCCATGATTCATTTTATGTTTGCTGTGTGGTCCCTAGCACCTCTTCCATTCCTGAATCTAGATTGCATCTGTGATTGCATTTTTTTGCTCCATATATAGCAGGAATCTTTGCTGCAGAATTTTAAGCACAACTTTGCTTGCATCGGAAATTAGTGCAATGGTCCTGTTGTTGTTGCGATCTTTTGTGACTCCATTTTTGTGTATAGGAATTTATATTGATCACTTCCAATCTGTGGGCCACTTCTTTGTTTTCCATATTTGTTGATATATTTTAGTTAGAAATTGACTTATGTGGATTGTGGCAGTTCTATTGGTATGTCCTCTGCTCTTGGTGTTTTCTTCTTCCCAGTTGCTTTGAGTGTGGCTTTCACCTTACTTGCCAAAATTTGGAGTTCATCTTCATAGGTTTCTTCATTTTCCCATGTGTCATTCATCCTTTCATAGTTTTATATAGCTCTTTTTTGTGTTGTTTCCTTCTTTTTATTTCATTGTGCCCATGTATTATGAT